TTTAGTAGTCACTGAATCGATAAGTGTTTATGGCTAAGACGTCAGAGATCAGGCACGTACATTTTATCTTCTGGTGTTCCCCATTTATTTTCTTTCATGACCACACATGATAGATCGTGACCATCCCACTTCTACCTACTCCTTCAAATCCGGATAAGATTTGCGCAACATCCCTTCCACCCCTAACTTTTCGGCGGCTGTTCCGCTCGGCCAGTTAGCCCGCGCCCCGTAGGGGGGGGGGCCGAAACGGCCCCCCCTGTCAATTTCGGTCGATATCTCCTAAACGGCTGGAGATATCGCCACCAAACTTTCAAGACCCCTCCGGGCATCAATTTTACACATTGTGACCAAAAATTTTTCCAAAGGCTATGATAGGTTGGCCACAAATGACGTCAGAGTGACGTCATGTTCTGTCATTTTCGACCGAAAAAAGACCTTCGCGAGAAGACCTGTCAGGACTACAGCTTTGAAGATACAGAAAAATGATCAAGACATAAAAGGTGTAGAATTGACAGGGCTACAAAACTGCTATCTCGAATTTTTGAAATTTTTGAGTTTTGACCCCCAAAAATCAAAAAAGCATTTTTTTGGATATATTCGCCAAAAAATCCAAAAAGTTTTTTGAGTTTCGAAAAAACCGGAATATATGTGATAGTGCCTACCGTCTACTATCTACATACCAAATTTCAGATCGATACCTCATTTTTTGGCCAAGTTATAGCGAAAAAACTGTTCAAAAATGATGACGTCAAATTTTCAAACTCAATTTTTGGCAATTCTAGAACTCGTAGAGCAAAACGAAGACCACCATTAGACTCCCCGTGACGAGCTGCATCGAATCGATACCCATTTTATGCAAAAATATCAACTTTGAAATTTGACCTAATTTGACCTGACCTTGACCTGACCTTCACAAAAACGTGACCTAGGCTGGCCCCAAAGGCTGCCTAACCCACATAATCGCATTTGTCATGTAAAATGGACCATAAAACATGTATCACCCGACACATTCATATTGTGACCCCCGGTGACCTGACCTCGCTGTGACCTGACCTGGTATCAGTGACCTCAGATAGCAAAGTATGTGTTTGACGAACAATGTACCATCGATGGTTTTAAATAAATTACCAATTTACTCGCTTTCACAGCACATTTCTTGAATTGCCTGTGAACGGTGAAAATCTGACCTTTGACCTGACCTGTGACGTCATCGGTTTGACCTAGGTCAATGAAATTTAGTCACAAGGTAGTTCCCGGGTGGGGCTATCGAACGCCGTTTGAATTTTGAAAATCGGCCGGTAACTTTCCGAGATCTTAGGGGGGGGCCGAAACGGCCCCCCCCCTACGGGTGGTAGGGTCCGCCGGTAGCCCTACGGGGCGCGGGTTAGCACTCGAACTCTGAGAGCTGGGCAGCTGCGCTCGCCGGCGTCGCCTTTCCACTTGGAGCGAATTCCCTTTGTGCGACGTGCGGAAGTCGTCCGGAATTGTTTGCTGGCGGCGCTGCGGCCGGCCGCCTGTTATTCCGAATTGCTTCATCCGGCCAATCTCCCCGGGGCCAAGGAGGCACGCCGCCGCCGCCGCCGCCGCCGCCGCTGCCGCTGCGTGTGTCTGTCTGTGTCCGCTCTGCGTGTCAGCGGCGCGCCGGCGGCGGCTGCGGCGGCCCTCGGGCCCGCACGCGCGCGGCCCGCGCTCGCAGGCTGTCTCATTACGCGAGCTATTACACCCGCGGCGCGGCGGTGGACGCGCCGCCAAGCCGAGCGGAACTGCCTAGCGCGTCGCCGGTAGCCATGGGTAGCCATAAGGGCCAGTTTGGCCACCGAGCGGCCGGCCGGCAGCCCTTGTTGGTCGTGTCATCTGGCCGGCGGCAGCGGCCCCGGGCGGCATCACCTGCGGCTACCCACCGGGCGGCGGCGGTGGCGGCGGCGGCAGCGCGCGGTGCAGAGACGCCCGTGCCGCCCGGCCGTGGCGGCGGCGGACGATGGTCCACCGTAACGATTCTCATGAATAATTGAGGCTGGCCTAACACGGTTGGCGACAGATATCTGGGCGGAGAATAGAGATGTCTGGCTGGGACGCCCCCCCCCCCCAACCCGACTCTTCCGCCGGTGCTTTCGTTGGTACTGCTAGCGGATGAGTGCGATAACGGTACGTAGACAATTAAGAAATCTTGAGCACATTTATGAAGGCTTAGGCATGCAGAAACACTTGCCCAAGGGGACATCCCAAATGATTCATGGCGGCGCAAATGGTGGTAGCGTGAGCGTAAATATGCACTGAGCTGACAGCAGCGGGACTGTAGCAGTACGTGTTGATTAAATTCTGGTTGGGATAATTTAATTAACGGCGCCGCAACTCTGCTGTTGCAATAGTGTGACCCTAATCCGAGCTAGCCGGGGAACGTGGCACGTCTAAGTGTTGTCCAGGCCAATATCAACCATGCTCCAGGTCTGCCCCACCTATCGATCTTTTTCACCGTACTGGGGAGAGATAACAAATCACATGCTACATACCATCCTAATCTTTGTCATTCCACGCATTCACAGCGGTGGCAAGTGGCACGTGACTCCGCCGCTAACAAACGCTGCACACCTGGCCGGATTCCACCCGCGGCACTCTCACACTCTCTCACACTCACTCACTCACACACCGCGCTAGATCGAGCCGCGGCGCGTGCCCGGCACGGGGGTGCTGCAGCCTGCAGGGAAAAGGACAGGGGCGAAAGGAGGGGGCGAAAGGGCTCAGTATGCCGGGAGCGGGTACACCAGGCAGGCCAGACACTAGACAGCGTGTGGGACATCGTGTGTTTTTAGTAGCTTGGTAGAGCCTCTGTCACAGCGTGTTTACATCAGGATGTCGGTTGATGAACTAACCGAGCGAGGAAATTGTCTGAATTAATAACAGGGCGACAGATAATAAGTAAATTTTCTGACTGCAGTAACGTAGATACAACTTACCTATCGCCGTTTTCTCAAACATTCGTACAAATGCGGCCACAAATCTGAAACATCGTAGTTATGACGCATACACCAAGCACAAGTGTCTGAGTGTCCAAAAGGCCACAAAAAGACGCGCGTCAGTCCGTGACCGATCGTCGTTTCTGTGTATCTACATACGATCGACAGTGATCTGATATGTCAGGTGTTCAGCAGAGTCGTGTGCACTCCTTGCAGTCTGTGCAGTCTGGTGCGCATCAACCGAGACTCGTCAGCTCAGTGACGCTCACAAAACAGCTGTGTGGGCTTCTGCCGTCTCTGAGCCGTCGTGCTTAGCGTGCTGCAGCGTTACGTACCGGTACCGGTATCGGTAAGCGTACCGCATGTTTCGACCCATTCAGTTCGCACTTACCGTACCGCGTGCCGTACGGTACCGCATGCTCTCATCGCCCGTCCTGGCCGGGCTGAGGGCTCGGCCAGTCCCCATCGATGCTGCCCCAAACACAATTATGATTTCATATCCAATTGAACTTTACGAGGAGCGAAATCAAGCAGATGTCAGGATTGAGTGGACACTTTTGAATTGTGAGGGTCACTGGCTAAACATGCGCCGTTCAGGGGAGGGTCGGTCGCGGTCTAGTGTTTGTAGCGCTGGGGAGCGTGTAGTGGGGGGGGGGGGGCAGGTAAGGGCGCTAGAGGTCGGGGGGGGGGGGGGGGCGGACGGAGGGTACCGGGAGCAGAGGCAGCTGCCGGGAGCGGGGAGTGGCAGAGGTTAGCTCTCTGTGCGGTCAGCCGGGCGGTCCCTCTGAGTCGACAGCTGCCCGTCCCCCAGCCCCCTCCCCCGCGCCGTGACAGGTGTGACGGTCGGGCGGAGCGTCACGGCCCGTGACGCGGCCGCCGTGACGACTGCGCGCGCGCCCGATTATTGGACTCATCACGAGCGTCCCGTAATGGTGATGGATCACTGGCGATTGGTCGGCCGAGGATGACCGCTGTTTTTACAGCCCCGCTCTGCCATTAAAACTCGGCGGGATGTTAATATTTCAGTGCGGCACAGGTGATGCGGTCGCTCTGCTCGCACGGGATAGAGGCGGGGCCGCCAAAAACGGCCGCTCGTGCTGCACTGACTCAACGCGCGCCCGTTTTTGAAATCGCACATGTGTGCGAACCGACCAGTTGGTGTTGCTCGGTGCAGGCGTGAGGCGCACCTGGCTGAGCCGAACCGGGCTATTATGGGGACCAACAGCTCGCCCCGGAAACCATCCTCGGCTCTAACCTCGGTGCTGACGGGCACCGCCGGCCGTATGAGTTTTCACGCAGTTGCAGAACCGTAACGACCAGCTGGTGCAAAACTCGCCGGCAGGATCATCGATGATTCAGCGAGCCTGAAATGGTATATCGTGATTTCTGTCCGGCCGGTTAGCGAGATTGGCGGCCACCGGTCTCCAGAGACACGGTGCGTCACATTTCGTGACGGAGCGTTACATTGGCAGCCGCACGCACCCGCCGCAGTCGATACTCGGCTAAATCGAACGCCCTATCTGAACACACACACGGAATCCATCGCCCCCGGTGTGATTTGTTCTTGTGTGCCGGTGTAAACGGGCCTCACCGGCTCCGCGGCTATTAGCCGGCAATGCCGTATAATTACGATCAGCGGCGACGTGATCTTATCTGCCGCGTACTTCATACACGGCTGATGGGTCTGTAGAAATACAGTGAACACCTGAGTCGACCATGTGTCATCAGTGGTTTACACGAGTGTAATCAGTGCGGTACAAGGCCCTCGTTTGTCGACGGTAATTGATTATTCAAACTCATCAATGCGCTGCCAAGCCCAGCCCATCCACACGTCGTCTCTCATTATCATTTCAGAGTGTAACTATACAATCCTGACAGCCGACATGACAGGAGGGACGTGAAGCTCATGTACCCATGCTGAGGTGCGCAGAGCCATACTGACGCATAGCTTCTTGCTGGACAGAGTCGTGCAGACTAGAGCCTCACCGCCTCCTCGCGGCCTCCCCAGCACCCAGTCTCACGGCTCGCGCGCCCCTCCTCCGGCAGATCCGAGCAGCCCGTCGTATGGGCAGACGCTGCCGCCGCTGTTGCCGCTGACGATGCTGTACCCGGGCTGCCTGCTGCACGCCTACCCGCACTACCAGCGCTGGTACTCGTCTGACGCCAAGGCGCCGCTGCTGCCGCCCTCGGCGCCCTACTCGGAGATGGCCAGGCAGTTGGAGGCCGTCCGCCTCTGGGGCTCGCTGGCCAGACGCGAGATGACCAGCCCGGCCAACAACGGTGAGCCGGGAGCCCGAAAATGGAGGACATTGCACTTTCTTGAGCATTGGGATATAGATGCTTATCGTGATGTAATTTGAAAGGTTGAACGCATGCTTTGATTCGTCTGATAACCTGTGACCACATGAGTGAAGCAGGCAGCTGCATTTTATTCATCACAACGAAACCCGTTACATTTACTGACGGCTGCTCACGGCTCGTTCTCTGCAGAGCCGCGGACGCCGACGTGGACGGGCTCGCCGTCCTCGGCCGAGGAGGAGCCGGCCGACGCGCCGCTGAACCTGTCGACCAGCTCGGCGCGGCGGGCCATCTGGTCGCCGGCGGCGGCTGTCGAGCAGGAGGCCGAGCGGCGGCGCTGCTCGTCCGAGCTGAGCCCGCCGCCGGCCAGCGAGCCGGCCAGCCCTCCGGCGGCGGCGCCGCTGGCGGCCTCCTACCCGCCCTACCGGCTGGTGCTGCCCGGTTGGACGGCCGCCGCCGCCGCCGCCGCCGCCGCCGCCCGCCACCTGGGCCGGCCCGTGCCGCCCAGCCGGCTGCCCGCCATGGAAGGCCAGCACATCAGCTGCCCCGCCTGCAAGAGGGTATTTGGCTCGCCTGCCGCGCTGGAAGCGCACGTGAAGCGGTGTGCGGCCACCCTCTCGCCGCGCTCCGTGCCGGGAGGTCAGACCAACACCAAAACAGCGCACGAGAGGTCGTTTGAGGTAAGCACTCCGGAACAGGCTCATGGATAAATGAGGGGTGGATATGGAACTGCAATTTTGGTGGCAAATGGTTGTAACTGATGACAAAGTTTTTTTTAATTCCTTTCCGACGTTTGCTGTAAAAGGTGAGCTGCAGTTATTCACGTTATATATATATATATATATATATATATATATATATATATATATATATATATATATGTATATGTATATATATATATGTGTTTATCGGCTCAATACACTAAATACACCACTCGTGTTTTATTTGCAGTGCAAGGAGTGTAAGAAGACGTTCAAGCGTTCCTCGACGCTGTCAACACATCTTCTAATCCACTCGGACACCCGGCCCTACCCATGTCCGTACTGCAACAAGCGCTTCCACCAGAAGTCGGACATGAAGAAGCACACCTACATCCACACCGGTGAGTCCTGAAGCGGAAAATCGGCCAAATCGCCGACCAAGAAAATTGCACGATTGAGTGGCCATAAACCCACGATTATGCCGCCCTCCTCAGTGTCATGTTGCCACGGCTGATCAGCGGCCCTGTATATCACCGCCAACTGCCTCGATTCACCGAAGCAGTATGATGTTATGGTTACACATAACCCGCTCCAAATTGCTCCCTTTAAATAAAACAGATCATCACTCTTGAACTTTCCCATGCCTTCCAATCTACAATATGGAATCAATTTGTCGCTGATTTATGTGTGTTCCCTAGGGTGGCGTCCCCTCTCCATAAAAGTTATCGACGAGGAGGCGGCCGCACCCCGCGTCCAAATTGGTTTTATCATGAGTCGCTCTCCGGTTCACGAGTGATTGCCTTCGGGCATGAAATCAGGGCCGTCATTGTGACTGGGGGTGATACGCGTGCGTCTGCTCTGTGCGCTGATAATGGCCCGTTCCGGGCAGCCAGATGGCCGCCGATCTGGACAGAGATCAGCGCTCACTGATCGCTGATCAGCTGGGCGATGGACCGGCCGCTCGCCAGCCGACCAGGCGCGATGACGCGTGCCACCAGCGTATAGAGAGCCGGGTCCCATCGCCGCCGCTCCGGCATCGGGGCACACAAATCACGCGGCCCCTCGGGCCAACGTTCGTTTGAATATTAATCTGATATCGGGCCGGGCGGCCGGCCGGGGCGGTGGCGGGGGCGGGGGCGGCTGAGAGGAACCAGACACGGCGGCGGCGGCGGCGGCGGCTGACGGCCCGGCTGATGTATGGAGGCGGGGTGTGACCGAGCACTGCCCGCCCGGCTGGACGGGTGCTGCAGGCTGTGTATGAGATGCAACGCCTGTACGATCGATGAGCGCCAAGGCGCTATGGATGCTGGATAGCCATGTGGCCAGGCCGGGAATAAGAGACTGATACAGTGCTGCCGATCGTCAGCTGCTGCCAGTAAGCACACATAAGACGGCGCTTAGTGCGGCCAAGAAGTCAGCGAGAGCAGAATTGGGTGGTGTCATATTTCTTTGTGGAACGCATTCCGGGTATAGCCTGTAGCCTTACACTAAATCATTTTGCATTGCCTTGGATGAGATATGGTATAAACTAATTGAGCAAACCAGCGCATATATAATTTTTGGTCGTAGCCCTTGGTGCCAAAGCAAACATCGTTTGAAAATGCTCCGAACCACTTCAATCATGAGCGCCATTGCTTTAATAATTCACGGTATTTGAACTCCATAAAGGCCCGATGTCCCGGCGCGAGGCGGCCCACTTCGGGCCGGACAGTGGCGCGTCGTGCCGCGCCGGGATCGATCTTGGATTGGATGGGCTCTATGCACTCTGTGACAGTGTTCAAACACCAAGAGCCATTCTTCCCGGTTAAAAGCAATGATTCTGCAGCGTCGGCATTCAGCTGAGTCATTCAATTTGACCTGTCCATGTTTTGTGAGGCACTATTGCGTTCAGTTGGTCTGGTTTCACTCTTGCCTGACCTCTGTCATACCCCTGTTGTATAGCTCTGTCGTATCCTGTCATGTCCCCTGCCTAATGTCCAAAGCTGTCCGAGCCCTGTCTGACCCTATGCAGCCCCTTTCTGACCATGAACTTTCTCCCGTTTTCAGGTGAAAAGCCGCACAAATGCTCGGTCTGTGGCAAGGCGTTCTCGCAATCTTCCAACCTGATCACACACATGCGGAAACACACCGGATACAAGCCGTTCGCGTGCGGCCTCTGCGAGAAGGCGTTCCAGCGGAAGGTGGATCTGCGCCGTCACCGGGAGAGCCAGCACCCGGACCTGGCGCACGTGCCGCCGCCGCCGCCGGCGCCGGTGCCGGCCGCCCTGCCGGCCGCGGACTGACGGGCCGTGGTGCGGGCCGGGCCGCCGGCACTCTGAGCGCCCCTGAGCAGCCCACCGGCGTGACACTGCGGCAGCTCAGAAGCTATTGATTGTTCTCACTGACCGATGTAACCCGAATCTCCGCCAAATGGACCGCTTTTGAGCCGGCGACGTCGACTTCAAAGCAGCCCGTATGACCATTACTTACGTCAACAAATTAAAAATCTTCGACCGTCTCGCTGAATAGCGGCGCCCTCTTCAGAGTGCCGCCCTCAAACAAAGCACTTAGGCGGCGTTTTCCATTGATTTCGGCGGCGCCGGCCGGTAGCGGAGGTAACATTGTTGTCCGTAGTGTGCACACAGAGTTGTTCAAACATTTAACGAATTCATTGCGTCTGTATCAGCGTCGATGAGCGGCTGCGAGGGTCCGTTTGACACGGCACCGACAAACGGCAGTCGGACACAAAACGGCCGCCCCCGGCCGGCCGAGCGGCCAGGGTGCGTGCGGGGGGGACTGATAGACGGCATCGCACGGACTAATGATTCGAGCCAACGGCCACCATTGAGCTAAATGGACGGGAGCGCACGGCCAATTATTGAGCTTTCTAGTCAGCTTGTATATAAAAAGATATGAGGATGAGTGACTGGAACGCTTGTGCATGGGCGGCGCCACCGGGGGGGACGGGGGGGACAGGTCCCCCGCTATCGAAAGTTAGGGGGGTACAGTACCCCCCTATCGGCGAGGCCCGTTCAATAGTTGATAATAATGCATTATAGAGCTACCCGTCGCATTTAATGCATGGTTGGTTAATCAAGGCAGGTTCTGAATAAAGATTGCTGTTGGAATGCATCGCAGGGGGTCCTGGCCATCTGCAAAAGGTGTGGAGCTGTGATGCCTGTAGTTATAAGGTGATCGGCAGGGCCTCGGGGATCGTGCCCCCTTTTTGGGGCGCCAGGCAGGTTTATTACTTATTACCTCCCCACCCCACTGCCAGACCCCATTGCCGATAAAACCAAGTTCACTGAAATTCCATAGATTTCCGTTACTATATGAAAATTTTCCATTCCTAATTAGTCAAATTCAAGCATGGCAGTTCTACCACAGGAACCATTTGAAATCTATGCCATTGAACCCCAGCACTTGTGGGGAGAAGTGTTCGGATAGATCACAGGCAGGACCAAAAAAGCACGCAGTAGCCCAAGACCTTATAATTGGATCGGCTCCCTCTCGTCAAGGGGTTCGATAGCACTCGTTTTTTTTTTTCTGCAAAACTAAGTTCGGTCGGCGGCCGAACGGCTGGGGGTCTAATCGAGCCCCCCATCCCTCCCCTTCTTACGTCAGCGGCTGTGAAAATGCCATTACCAGCTGTTGAAACATGGCAGTTGCTTTTGCATGAGTGCACGAAAGGGTTTTAGGTCCGTGATACGTGAAAGGTTCTACATGAAAATTGAGATACACCAGCTTATCAAATTGTGCTCACTGTGGTGCGCTCGGTTTTACCTTGACTAGTCTTTGAATTCTGGGGTGAAACAGACCAGTCAAGAAACCTGTTCCATAAGGAGAGCCACTAATGCTAAAGAGATATGGGATGAGGTTTCCAGAGACCTTCATTACCTCCCAAAGGGGGTGCCGGCCGCCATTTGCCAATCCCTGCTGTAGTTGTTACGATTGGAGGGTGAATATGAGAACGATGCAGGTCGTGCCAGCTCGATCATGACGAACACAATGGTGCCGACATCACAGCTCTACTGCCATTTTTGACGAAGTTAATCAACAAGGACCGGAATCCTACCCTGGGACATTTCACCTGCAGAGGTCGCCGGACCTGAGACCCTTTCACTCAATTTTTTCAACGGTGCATGCGCTCGTTTTTCCCGCGAAGCTCTTGGCAAGTAAAATTCATCAGAAAGTGTGATCAAATAACGGCTGGTGAGCTTCCATGACCTAGCATGGCCTTTTGAGTGACCACCGATGACATGACCACTGACGGCTAGCCATTAGCTGCACCCTGCCCGATGCATATGGATTGCAGGTAGTGATGTCATGATTCTGAAATTATATTGCAGTTTTGGCGCACTTGTCAGAGCAGAAGACATTCCCACTTTCCCTCCATGACTATATGATGGTGAAGCCCTGAAGCTGACCAGACGTAAGATCGAAAATTTGAAAGTCCGAAACGTAAGAATAGCTGGCACTGCTACTCATACCTAAGCAATTCGCAGCTTGTAGGAAACCAGCTTTGAGTTGGCAAGACTGCAAATTTTGATTTAGAGGCAAGGATGCTTGAAAAGGTGATCGATCTTAGGTGTCCTAGGATAAGTTTGGAAACGGGATGCACCATTCGATGTGTTTTGGGCCTTGCCAAGTTTCGCGGCGTTACGAACCTCGTTTTTTTTTTTGCATACACGATCAGTATCTACTTTTGGGATTTTCGATTTTCGGTCCCCGTCCCCCCCTATCGAAAACCCGTGGCGCCGCCCCTGCGCTTGTGATTCAAAAATCGGATAAATGTACGGCTTTCAGGTGATTTTGGAGCTAAGTGCTCGTATCTTGCGTTGGCATGACTTGTTTGGGGAGTAGAGCTCATGGGTGTGATTGTGCAACCGTCGGACAATTCTGTGTATTGTTAGAACTGTTTTAACTAGAATGCATACAGGGATGCATTGACGTTCGCAAATAGCTGTTGTCCGGGAAAACGTTCCGGTCCGACTGTACGCAATTGTGTTTTATCTTTTTGTTTTATCTTTTTATGTAAAGGCACTTTTAGTTTTGATACTTGATCAGACTCAGCGGCACTTTTAACATGCTGACTGTTGCAGCAGTGCAGTGCAGTTTATTCGAATGTTCGGACAGATAAGAGAGAGCTAATCTCGCTGAAATTGTTCAGTCGTTTACTGAAACGATGTTCGTGGGGCAACGCTATGTCATATAGCCAGGATCGCATCTTTGTCTTCTGGTTCAGGGGTTCAGATCTTGTTATCTTGCCAGCGTTTCAAGTGCACAAATTTCATGATAGGTACTTTTACTACTACTACTACTACTGTATTCCTCTGGTGCGCGTTAAAGGGGATTTCAAGCACTGTACAAACTTGCACACGAAACTGGTAACTCGTACACTCTTCGTGCCTTTTTCAGCGCCATCCAGCGACTCTAGTTAGAGCCATTATCAGATTTTAGCCGCATATTATCGGTGTTTGGGCGCTGTCGGGGCGCCGTGTGTGTACGGATGTGGACTTTGTTGACGGGCGCCGGCTCTGTGGGGCGCCGGCGCCCACCGGCGCCCCCGCCGAGCGAGCTGTGATGCCACCAGACCGTGTGACCAGGCAGCACTGCGGTGGCGTTCGTTGCATGTTACTCGCGTCCTTAAATAAATTGCTGTTATCATATGAGGCACTCGGTGTTTTATCGTGTTCTTTTGGGTACACGATGGGCTGATTGCGAAAAAAATCGCAGCCGAAGAAGTGAAGAAGCTGACAAAGACGGGTGACTGGCAGAAAGTATTCCCGTGTGGTTTTGAGGTTTAAATAATGTGTTTACATTGGCAATCCCTTACACTTGCCATCCCAGAAACATCACGGGAAGTTATCAGGGTCAATGGTATCGTTTTACGTTTTCGGCCTAAACTCGTTTAAATCGGCTCCAGATTCCCAGGGAATATAAATAATAACCTTGCGCCGTCTCCAAAAAGTTTTTGTTACATTGAAAACGATCGTTCAATTACAGACGTTATAAGTTTACATAATTGTTAAAGGGAAAGTAAACTTCAAGCCTATCTAAATAACGCCAAACCGACTAGTATTCAAACTGTACCTAATCTGACATACCTATGTCATTTGACAAGTTTGCAAAACAGATGCATTCGAGATATTCCGACGTGAAATGACTTAGCTGTATTAGATATAATAAACATGCCTTCCTAGAGAAGGTAATTAGTGGGTTACCCTTTCTTCAGGTGTAAAGCTTTAATAAATAATACCTAATAAGAGATATTAACCTTACTCTCATATTAGCCAAAAGATATAAAATTTCAAAAAGACAAAATACAGTTTCGGGAGCTTTCGGCTTTGCGGCTTGCGCCTTTATCAACCGTTATCATTACGGTTGATAAAGGCGCAAAGCCGAAAGCTCCCGAAACTGTATTTTGTCTTTTTGAAATTTTATATCTTTTGGCTAATATGAGAGTAAGGTTAATATCTCTTATTATATTCATAATGTCTCTCAAAACTGTGCTAAAAACCATTCAAAATATTAACTACCTAATATAAAATAAACGGCAAAGGTGGTTCAATCGGGCCATTTTTTTGTGATGGCATCAAAAAATGAATAGTTGAGCAGTGCTGGTGATGGCTTTTGACGAAATGTAAGACGTTTTATTAGTTTGTTTTCGTTTGTATACCTACAAATGATGCATTTTTGGTTTATTTATTTCAATATTTTCCCCTATGCCCGAAATTTATCATTTACCTTCTATCTTCGTCTTTAGAAACGCAACGCTATTGTGCTTCACAAGGCATCACAGATTTCTCAATCTATTCAAACATTGTCCAGTCGTTCCGCAGAAGTCGCTCAAAATAGCCGATCGTGGTGCTTTTCTCCTGTCACTCGAATTTCTCTCTTCCTCTCTCTCTCTCTCTCTCTCTCTCTCTCTCTCTCTCTCTCTCTCTCTCTCTCTCTCTCTCTCTCTCTCTCTCTCTCTCTCTCTCTCTCTTTCCCTCTCTCTCATCGCCTCCATCCCTGTGTCAAATTGGCGTCGGCCGAGCGGCGCGTGGCGGGCGGCCCGCAGCGCGCGTGCGCCTGATTAGAGAGGTCAGCCGCCCGTGACCGCACGCGCCGCCCCCCTCCCCTCCCCGCCGGCTCCTTTGACGCCGCCGCTCCGCTCGGCCGCTCGGCCACAACAATGGCGGCCGAGCGTAGGAGCCGCCGCTTCTGCTGCGGCTGCCGAGCGCCGAGACATCCCTGGAGAGACAGCGTGCGAAGTGGGATATGGGCAGAGGAGCGAACGATGACTGAAATTGAAGCAGTTGATGCGTCTGGAATCGAGGTTAGGATATTAAGCGGGTGCTCTACCTGTACCTTATAAACAGACTGTTCTGTACACGTAATTTTATCGTGTGAGTTTGAGTTCGGACTGTGTTAGGCTTTGGTTTCCAGCTATCAACCATTAGAAGTTATGAGTGCTATATTGGTCGACTTAGCGATTATCCGGTGCAGGAGAGGCGATGCAAAGTAAACAGTAAATTAGAACAGCTAGAGGAGAGAGTGTTTCAAGGCAAGCACTGACCTGTAAAATATCGATTCAGTCACACGATTACATGGTGCGTTTTATAAATGAACGCACTAAATAAAGACAAAGTAATGCAAACGTACAAAATCAACATGTCACAAGCATGTAGCATTTATCCTCATTATCGCTGTACAGGGAAGAGGCAACCGTTCAGCGCATTTTCTCCTTTTTTTCATTGGCAATAATAAGAACAATTACAGGAGACCCACTGGCGGTCGCAGCCGCTAGCAAAAGGGGGGGCCAAAGTCACACTCGCGGGACATAACATTTATCCGTCACCGGGAGCTAGGGGGGGGGGGGTGATCGGCTACTTTTTTACGTCCACGAGGCGCCGCACAGTTGGCATTACTTTTGCTTCATCCA